AGCCTTGAATGGGGCATCAGGGAGGGGCGTTCGCTGTGAAACAGGGTAGTGGCAGTAATTTTATTTTATGGTTGGAAGTTCCTTATCTAAACGATTCCCAGGGCCGGCTCCAGACACCAGTTGAGCAAGCTGGTGCTTGGGGCAGCAGATTGTTGGAGGCGGCGTTCTGCCCAATCCTAGGGTGGCACGGCCACTTTTTTGTTTTTGTTTTTGTTCCTCTCCGGCCGCGGAGAACCAGAGCGCCCTGCAGGGCAGTCCTCTTCCTTCCCTCCCTGCCGACCGGAAGGGGCCGCGTGGCAGCGCCCCTGCTGTAGCCCTGGCCGCCCCCTTCTCTCTCTCTCCCGCCCGCTCCCTCCCCCATACCCCCCAGCCGGTCCCCCTGCACCCACACTCCGGCTGTGCCGCAGGTTTTTTTTTTTTTGCTTTGCCGTTCTGGCCGCCCTGTTTTACTGTATTACTAGCTTTGCTGAGCATTTACTCACACAGTGAAGTCAATACAGCGACTCCTGTGAATACAGGCTGACAGGCTAATCTATAGCCACCAGTCCCTGCCCCAAAGCGCTTGCACTTGGAATAGACAAGACCAAGGACGAGCAAGGGAAAGGAAGGGTCACCAGCTCTCATTTCATTACACAGACGAGGCACTGAGATCCCGGGCTAGATTCCCATTGGCGCCGAGGGCCCTTTAAACCCACTTTCAGGCCTCTCACCGTGTAAAATGGGCCTTAGCGTAAATGAGAATCGGGAGCAAAGTGACTGTGCCAAGGTCACACAGGAAGTCAGTGACAGAGCCCAGATCTCCTGGGTTCAAAGCCATGAGTGTGTTCAGTGAGACCTGTCTGAACGCTTGGCCACTTGCCTGGGAGCTTCTTGACAAACACTTCACGATCCAACGCATGCGTACCAGACCCACTGAGACTCCTTCCCTGCCAGCTGCACAAACTTCACACCTCCTCCCCAGAACACAACCCCCCCTGGAGTCCCCAGCCTCGCCCTTCTCCCAGCTCCCTGCCTGCCCTGGAGGAAAGTTGGGCCTTTCCTTGCCCTGATGGTTCACAAACTGGAGGGGGAGGGAGGCGCTGGCAGACTGCAGCAAGAAGCGGTTGCACGGGCTCAGGGCCTTAATGATAAACTAATGCATCGAGCGGCTCAGGGTTGAGTGGCCGGGACTTTGCACAAGCAGCTTGTGACCAGGGTGGTTGGGTCTTCAGGAGGAGAACCTCAGCTTTCATTAGGGCCAGAACTCCAGCTAGAGCTGCAGTGCACCACAGCTAAGGAGCTGGCCCAAATCATCAGCTCTCCTAGTGAAGACTGTTTGGAAAAGGCAAGCCAGGGTAACTCGATCGCTGGTGTTGGAAGGGGACAAGCACCTGGGCTGCATTTCCAAGACAGAGATTCCCCATCGCAAAACACTTTCTATTGGGTCAGTTACATTTTGGATACATCTCTGTGGCCCTTCCCTCAAGCCATAGCCAGCCTTGCGCATGGTGGTGTGATCCGGGCTGACGGGGTTCAGTTACGTTTGGGGGGATGGCAGCAGAGTTGCAGCCCCACTGGTATTTGCCAAGGCTGGGTCTGGTTTTTAGGTCGAGCCCCACTGGGTATGTTTATACTGCAATCAGGGTGTGGTTGCAGCACCTGCAGACATCCCAGAGCTAGCGTTCATCGAGCTAGCCGAGGTACCAATAGCAGAGAAGCCGCAGGAGCACAGATTTCAGTGCTGAGTGTGTACCTTGGGTCCCAGGCAGGCTTGTACAGCTCCTGTCAAAGCCTGTGTTGCCATGGCGTCACTGTAGCCGAGCTCGCCAGATTAAAGCTAGCTCAGGTATGTCTAAGTGTGCTGCGATCACATGCCCCGACTGCAGTGGAGACGTACCTTGCACTGAGCAGTATGCAGCTGCCTCACTGCGAATGCACCTGCCCGTCCCCTGCCGTGGCAGCCACTGCATCCCCATACTCAGGAGGACATGAGCACTGCACAGTGTAGCCTCTGCCCCACTGGCTTCTCCTGCAGTGCCAAAGGAGGAGGAAAGGCAGGGCCAGAGTGTAGGAGTCTGAATGGCAGGGCAGCTCGCCACATTAACCACTTGCATCCCTCTCTGCTCAGCAGCCAAAGAGACAGAAATGGAGCATGAACATCCCCCGCAACTTAAAAACATTATTCTAAAACTCCCCCGAGGACACGCCGAGGAGTAAAGCACTCAGTTGAGGCTGCTGCTGGTGGCGCCGCTGCCTTCAGAGCTGGGCAGCTGGAGAGCGGCGGTTGCTGGCGGGGAGCCCAGCTCTGAAGGCAGAGCCACCACCAGCAGCAGTGCAGAAGTAAGGATGGCATGGTATGGTATTGTCACCCTTACTTCTGTACTGCTGCTGGCGGGGTGCTGCCTTCAGAGCT